AAAACAAGTTTATGATCCAATATCCCTCCTTAAACTTGATTTTGTAACTTCAAGGAGATTCCTCAATTTCTGAAAGACTTCATGCTTTACAGGTTTGGTGAGAATGTTGGCGAGTTGATGATGTGACCTTATAAATTTCAATTGAGCCTCTTTTTTTTTTTTCTTTTTTTTCCCCCCATACATTCTCTGATGAAGTGATAGCTTGTGTTAATATGCTTGCTACAGTCATGAAATATTGGATTTTCTCTATTGCAAAAGTTGATTGGTTGTCTACAAAAATCTATGTTGCATCCTTTTGCATGAAATTGAGCTCCTTCAGAAGTTTTCTAAGCCAAATTTCATGACAAACACATGATGGGGCAGCCACATATTCAACTTCACAAGTGGAAAGTGTGACAATTGGTTGCTTCTTCGAAATCCAAGTAAACGCTATCTTCCATTAAGAACAAGAACCCGATTGCACTCTTTCGATCAACCAAGTTTCCACCCTAACCACTATCACTGTATCCAACAAGTTTAAAATTATTATATGATGAATAGAATAAGCCGAAATCAAGAGTACCTTTTATGTAGCAAAGAATCCTTTTGGCTGTTTTCAAGTGTGTCATGGTTGGTGCCTCCATGAATCGATTCACAAGTCCAACTCTAAAGAGTATGTTTGACCTTGTGTATGTCAAATATTGCAAGCTTCAGACTAAGCTTCTGATAAAAATGTTGATGGACAGAGAGTTGCTTGAGAACCTTGAAACTTTCATTTATATTGTATATTTTTACTTTGGTGGGTATGTATATGATATAAAGCACTTGATGAGGAATGGCAATGGATTGAATGGTGGATTGGAGAGGGTGGCTAAGGCACTTGGTGTTGATTATGTGGTTGGGAAAAGCCATCAAGTTGGATCAGATAGCTTGCTCGTCATGCAAGCATTCTTGAAGCTTCTAAAGATGGCAGACATGTCCTTAATTAATTGACTAATCGAAGAAGAAGGACTTGGGATTTGATTGTCGACTTCGGTCTGTGTTGCATGGATTGGAGACTAATTTTGAGTATACTTCTTTTAACTTGGTACAAGACTATGAAGCACTGGTACTCCAAACATAGTGTCGTACAAGTACCAAGTACTTATCGAATGCAGGTACGCGTACTGAAATGGCGGTATGCGTACCGGGTGTGCCAAATACATACCGAGTACGACAAATACGTTTGGGTACAGCACAGGTAGGATGAGGTTTTTTTTTTTTTTTTTTTTTTGCAGCTGTTAGAATTTGTTGCAATTTTATTATTCTTCTTTCAACTTCGAAAATCAGCAAATAATTTATTTCTATCACCCTTTACGCATGAGTCATGGTTTTGCTCTCTTTTGCATCATGTTTTAGACAATCAAAAAAAAAAGAAAAGAATTATATAACTTTTTAGACAGGCTATTCTCTTTTTAGTTTTGATATTAAAACTTTGATTTGTATGTTGGATGTTTAATTATAAATGTTAGGTTTTTATTCTTCGCAATCTTGACAAAACTCCTTTCAGTTGTACTTATTTTCGCATTTTTTATTTCAGTGAGGCTATGAGTTTTTAGATGCGAATTCAACCCGAATTGTACTTTGTAGAGAAGTTTGTGATGTTAATGATTTCAAGATTGCCACTTCGCTGACTATGACGGGGATCAAGCTGCTCCCAGGCAGGGTCGAGGGGCAGCTCCCCGAAGCAAAATGCAAAATTACTTTTGAAGTTGCCTGTCCGCCCTTGCTCGCTCGAGCAAAGACTGCGTCTGGCAAAAACCTAAGAGAGGTGAATGTGCTCTCAAGAGCAGGTTGCGTGGCTCGAGCGAAGCCACTTATGGAAATCACGCAAGATGAGTTTCTCGCTCGAGCGAGAGAAGCTTCGCTTGAGCGAGCTTCGCAGCCCCAGATTTCTATAAGTACGTGTTTCTGTCAGATTTTAGGATTATTTACTTTTCAGATTTTAAGGTTTATATTTGGGGATATTTTGCTAGTTTTCTTTTATGTTTAATTGAGTATTCAACTCATGGGTTAAGAAGAATACATTAAAGGTTTGTTTGTTCATTCTACGCAAAAGAGAGAGTTGTTCTTCAGTGGATTCTGAAAAATTCGAGCCTGAAGTTTTGGTGGATTCTGGAGTGGCTCATCGTTAAGACAATTCCGAGGTAAAGACAGTGTTGGAAGAGGCACATAGGGGTTGGTTTAATTCGGGCGTGGATTCGCTAGGTAATTGAAAGTATACTTGTGTAATTCCTTTGTATCTTCTTAGTGGATTGTTTTGTGGCTGTTGCCCGTGATTTTTTTATTACAATTGGAGGTGCTCCAATTGTGGTTTTTTCACGTTAAAATCGTTGTGTTGATTTGTCTTGATTGTTTGATTGGAATTATTTTATTGCTTTAAATTGATACATAATCACAAATCAATATCTAGCGGATTTTTAGATTTTTCAATTGGTATCAGAGCGGGTCGCTCTTTTGTTTTTTAAAACTTTTGGGCGTGATCTTGTTTGATTTGTGATAATGGATTCAATACGTAAGGGAAATTCTATGGTTCGACCACCCCTACTTGACGGATCCAATTATTCTTTTTGGAAAGCTCGAATGAGATCATTTTTGAAATCTATTGAAGAAAAAGTTTGGCAATCTGTCATGTATTGGTGGACCAAACCAACGATTACCGTTGATGGAGTAACTTTTTCCAAACCAATTGATAAGTGGGACACAATTGATTACCAAAATAGTAGCTGGAATAGTAAATCTATCAATTCCCTCTTTTGCGTTTTAGTCATATTTGCAATTGTGAAGTCGTAAAAGAGGCGTGGGATATCTTACAAACTATTCATGAGGACACTCCTTCTGTTAAACGCTCAAAACTTCAAAGGCTCACGTCTAGTTTCGAAAACCTTTCAATGAAAGATAGTTAGACCTTTGATGAATTTTATGTGAAGTTGAGTGACATTGTAAATTCCAGCTTCAATTTAGGTGAAAAAATACCGGAATCCAAGATTGTAGGAAAAATTTTGAGGTCCTTGCCCGATCGGTTCCAACCAAAAGTTACGGCTATTGAGGAGGCTCAAGATGTTGACAACGTCAAGCTAGATCATTTGGTTGGAAATCTCCAAACATATGAGGCACATAGGAATTTCAAAAAGAAACAAAAAGATGTTGCTTTTAGTAGTGCTTATAGAGCTGGAGAGGATTCTGATGAGGATTGTGAGATAGATTCCAAGATTACGGATGCTTTTGTAAAACAATTTAAAAAATCTTTTCTGAAAAAGAATCCTAGTCTTTTGGAATCTACTCATACTCATAAATCAAAAGGCAAAGATAAACTCAAAATTAATTCTATAGCCAAGAAGGAGAAAGGAAAGATACAAGGGAACTCTGAAAGAGTCCAATGCTATAAATGCCAAGGATTTGGTCACTTTGCTCAAGAATGCCCCACTCGTTTGAGGAAGAAGAAACCCCTAGCTATCAATTGGGATGATGAATCAGAATCTGATAAAGATGAAAGTGACAATGAAGATCAAGGTGAAGAGGGACAAAAACAATTCTTTGCTTTCATGGCAGCTTCTGAAACTGAAGGATGAACAGAGTATCCGAAGAGGCCGGTTGAGAATGCCAGTGATGATGAATCCTTGGGAAGTGATAGAGATGGCAATTTAAACCCGGCCCGATGGGGACCCAACCCCTCGATCCCGATTAACACGGGGTTTCCCCGAAAAATACCCCCGACGGGCCGGGGACGGTATTAAAAAAAAAAATCCCCGATTATTTTCAGGCCGGGGACGGTGATAAGTGATTCGGCCTCGGCCCGACCCCGTTCCCTGTCCCGTTTCTTCCCGCCTCCCTCTCCCTCTCTCATTTCAAATCTAATATAATATACTCACCTAATATAATATAATATAATATTATATCTATACTCATCATCTCCTGTGTTGACTGACGGAAACAATTAATAATAAACCTAATATAATATAATATTTATCTATACTCATATAATATATACTAATCTCTCTCTCTCTCTTCTCAGAACTCATCTAACAATCCCAAAACCAGAACATTCCTCTCATCTCTCTCATTTCAGATCTTTCTCTCTCCCATCTCAGATGTGTGTGCTGTGTGTTTATTTCAGATGTGTGTGCTGTGTGTTTATATATATATATATATATATGTGTGTGTGTGTGTGTGTGCAGTGTGTCTGTGTGGGGCTTGGTGTGTGTAAACAAACATGTAAACAAACATATCTGGCCCCTCTCTTTCACTCTCTCATACGCTGCATCTCTCCCACACCACCGGCTCCTTCTCACCGACAGCTCCCTCATCGCCGGCTTCTTCGCTCCTCATCGCCGACTTATCTCTCTCTCACGGATCTCCTCTCTCTCTCTCTCTCTCCCTTGTAAATAAAAAAGATAGATGAAATGAGAATAAAATATGCCTAAATTTCACATAGTTTCACACACATTTTCCTTTTCCTTTCCAAATCCCTCTCCAAATCCTCTAACCAAATACAGCATTAGTGTAATTAAAATTGATTATGCATGATTTGTAATTTTTCATCCCTAAATAAATGATTGTGAAGTAAAATGAAATTAATTTTGTTCACGACCAATAAAGCTTAACATGGTCTTACATTTTTTTTTTTTGAGAACAGGTCTTACATTTTTTACAGCACATATTTCATAAAATTATACAATCATTTTATATTCGGTACTCATTAGTAAAATTCAAATGAAAAATATAGTCTATCAACAATGCTTGGAAGCTAAAAAAAGTTTTTAACAAGTCATCAAAAATTCTTTCTGAATATAATCTACATTAAATTTAAATCTACAGCATATGTACATTCTCATTTTCTGGCTTCCTAACTTTTTCATATTTTATAACTTTTTATTAACATGTGCTCTAAATACATTGATTAACAAAGTTAAATAATCGTACATTTCTTCAACACCCTGAAACATTTCCATGAAATGGTCCATTTAATTTTCTGCCAAACATGAACAATTTCTGCATTATAATCTTCACATTCACCTCAAACAACCACAATCAAATTTTGATTTACATATTCAATTGGTAATCCCAGTTTGAAACATTTTCAATAACATAGCACTAAACAAAATAATTAACATCGGGAAACATAAGGAAATATACAACTTTTGTGATCAATACGAGTATATAAACAATCACAACCTAATCGAAAAGGCCAAGAAGAACCAGCATGTGGAGCCAATTTCTTTCTTTTTCCCTTTCCTTTCCCAGAAAATTTCATTGCTCAAATGACCACACAGATTCTCCTAGTCCAACCTAATCAAACAAGCATAGTGATTTTAGTTTTCCTCGGCACCAAATTTAAAGTTTCCTTGATGACCTGAGGTTATAATCGTGCTTGATAAGACTCGCTCTCAGCAGCATGGCCCTAACATCCCGATCAAATTCATTGCCAGTCTGTAAAACCCGCTGGAAAGTGGCATTCCGCTGATCTGCATGTCGTGCATAGAGAATTTTGTTATGGGAGTCAATACGTGCCTGCAAGAACACAAGTGATTGATATAAGCATTAGCATGCATGTGTTTGATTATTCATGAATCATTAGCATACATGTGTTTGATTATTCATGAGACCCAAAACTCTGCCTAGACCTATGAAGAACATTTCAACATATGTGCCGTACCCATGTCAAACACGTATGAAACACAGGCACAGTGCGAATACATGGGGACACGTGTCTGACACACCACTTGGCATGTCCATTTTAAAAATAACAAATTCACTAGATACATCAGGAACATGGCAGGGATGCAGCGTACATGCTTTGGGACACCGCAGGATCTTATTTTAATTTTCTAAAGCTAATTTCGGAGATCATATTATAATATTTGAAAACATAAGGATTGAAATTAAGAAAAATATAGAACTCATATCAAACCATTGATAACGCAACACAAGGCTAACCACAGTTATGAAGTTGAGACTTGCTTCCTACAATTCCTAGAACTAGGGGTGTAAGTGGTTAGGTTCGGTTCAATCAGGGTTGCTGGAAAATTTAGGCACCGAACCAAGCCCTTCAGTTTTGTTGGTTAAGGAACCAAAACCAACCAAATGCTATAAATATATCTATATTTAAAAAAAAAAAAAAAAAATCCTCCATTCCCCACCATGCTTGTGTCATGTTTTTGAAATCATTGTGTCCCATATCCGGGTCGGTGTTTGTGTCCATATCCATGCTTCAGAGGCCTGGATTCTACTCCTGAGGATTAGATTAGCTGTTTCACCAAGTATATAACATTGTTGACAACCAATAAATCTTGTATCCTTCCCCATTAATGGTGAACCATTTTGATTTACCAAGCTGTGTATATCTCTAAACCAAAGAAAGTGGAGTCATCGGTCAAAAAAAAACCTGTATTTGGTTGTCAGTAATTAGAGCTTCAAGCTCCTTCTCAAGCCCTGCAACACTTGTTTTGAAAGCATTGGCCATCATCCCAAGATCAACAGACACAAACGGGTGAGTATACTGGATGAGGGCTTTGTGACGGATTTCATCATACAGCATCTCAACATGGTCATGCAAATGGATATCAAGCAGAAGGTTTGCTTTGAGATTTCCAAGGTAATCCAGACACGAGGCATAATGGCTGTAAAATGGGGAGAAAAAGTTTATGTTGAAATATGAAGTACCGAAAATAACAGGTAACTAGTTTCCCTATCTACAGCAAGCAGAAGATAAAGCATAAAGTAAATTTACTTACAGTGATTTACAAGTTTAAATGTTGAATGATCATTAGGTCATGAAGAAACAACTGAAAACTAATGGTGGGTAATCATGAAAGAAAGGCAATGAAGCACTGATACTTCTAAAAAGAAGTCGTATCCATAACATACCAGTGTTGGATACCGATACTCCTTGAATATCCGATCCATGCATTGTAAAAGAAGGGAAAAGAACTACTAATTCAGAAATAAAATCCTGTGCTTTCAACTAAATAAGAATTTAAGCTCTAAGCAGCTCAGATTCACATTAAAATTTGTGTTTTATGCTGAACCAGAGACCATTGTTAGTTTGATGTCAAATCAGATAGATAGAGGTGTGATAGACATCATTAAAATTCTCCTGGTATGTAATACATTGGATAGTAGTAAGTGAACATCATATAAAGGGTTAAATTAACAACCATTCCACAAAATATTCTGTGGTGATTTGTATTGGACGGTAGGTCAAACCCTTTTTGTATGACATCTCTATGGATGTGAGAAGGGAGTAATATGACAACTGGAGCTTCCCTCAGACTGTGTTTGGACATACATTTTAACTAAAAATTCTGATGAAGATGATGCCTTTTAACTAAAAAGAAGGCATACTGCTCATCCCAAGTACATACAGGCAGACATTCTGATGCATAAATAACTAATCCCTCACCAGTTATCATCTCCATTGGGATCAATAAGAAATTCCACTCAGGAACCCTTCTGTGAGAGTGGCACAGCACACACACTACTAGTGTTTTCAACCAAATTCAATTTAGCAAACTACATCTTTCTAATGTATATCAGCATGCCACCAAGGCAAAGACATGAACAAGTGCAAAAGAAAAAGGAAGAGATCACATGTACAGCCATATGAAGTTACCTTGAATAGAAATCGTGAATAAGCTCCCTCACTTCAGGTACTAACTCTAAAAAATTCCGGAAGCTGAGATTGTCTATAACTTTGCTCTGCCAAATAAAAGCATCTAATTAGGAAATGATCTCACAATTCTTTTTTTCAATCAAAAAATCCATTTAGAAGTTTCCAAAAAGAAGTAATATAGTTACCTTCAGCTCTGCCCGGTCGAAACTTGCAAGTGCACAAAGCCCACCGTATGTTGCAATGTCTTGGGGTGCAATCACTTCTGTGTAGTTGTTCCCTAATTCATGACCCGTTTCCAAGAACTGCATATATACCAAGGACGTCATACATAAAAGAAAACAAATCCAAAATCAAAAGAAATGAAAAGGCGATAGGCAGGGAGAAGAAGGGTGTGGCAGTTTCATAATGTTTATGGATATGACCTAGAGTCTGAATTATTACTATCAGCACTGAAGATTAAAATGACATGATAAGCTCTCATCAACTCAGAACACAGAAGGTAAATAGTGGGTCAAGTTCAAGCTGAGCTCAAACATTATAGTAAACCATGCAGTTTTCAAAAAATCCAATATTTGATTCAGTTCAGCAACTTGTGTGGCTGTCGCCGCTGATATCTCCTCCTTGTTTGTCCAATAACAGTGCCATTTCAAATTTTCTTCTACGAATGGCTTATTCAACTAGGACTCTCTAACCCATTTCTCCTTTCTTCAGTACTCCATGAGGTTGGATCATAAGGATCATCAGGAAAGCACCACAAGGACATTCAAAAGTAGCTACAATTTAAATCTGTTATTAATCATATCATTAAGTCAAATTTAAAAACGTTGTCCACATTCATGCACACATGGAATTGTCAGGGAATTAACTTTCTGACATGACCCAGTTCAACATCCTGCTCCATGAACGTCCTCAAAAAACATAAGAATAACAAAAAGTTCACATTTGTGACCATTCTAATATGTATTTATGACACCTAATTATGTGCTTTAACATTTTTGTGATCTGACCATATACTTCACTTCTATTTCCACTAGTCCTGAAGATGTAAACCACAAACTTCATCTTAACAGAAATAAAGTTTTCGGACAATTCATAGTATTTTTTCCATTTCTGTTCAAGTAAAACCTTCAACCAAAACACAGCAACTGACACACTGGAAAAACCACAGGCAGGATAGATGACAAACCTTTCGAGCGGCTAGTTTGTACTTTTTAGCTTCCAATAAGGCCAATCCTGCAGCAGCACGTAGTTTTGCAACTGTAATAGGTTCCAAGGCTTCGGAATTTTGCTCTGCTTTTCCAACATAGCTTGAAACATGTATGAACTGACCCATCTCGATGCTGACCAAAATAGCGTTTAAACACATATGAATTATGTGCTTTGATGTTGTACAATAATCACGAGTACGAACGTAATTCTTGAATGCATCTCCAAGTGCACCGTGAGTATAGTAAAAATCTCCAAAATCATTGTATCCCATTCTAATGCTTTCTTTTATCAAATTTGTCTGTAACAAAAAAGAATTAAGGTAAGATGAAAAATGAGAAATTGCATATTAGATATTAAAAAAAGGGTACACCATGAAGACAAGTCATGAATTGCCACCCCATCCAAAAATAGACTAAAAAAAATTAATAGTCTTTATTTCCACAAAAAAATGTTACCAAGAACCAAAATTTAAGATAGTATTGACATTCAGAAATTTATAGTAGAGAAGTTCTAGCAACACAGCCATTACAAATAAATTTGAACATGATGCAGTTTAGATTTAATAGCAAAGTGTGACCTATTTGTTGTTCAAATTCCAACATTTATTGGGGATTAGACGTGCACTTTGGATCAAATTGATCAAGTAGTGCACAGCCATGCCAAAGTTTTGGGCAAGTTGGGCAATAACAGGGTCTATGTTTGGCCAAGCTGAGCTGAAAACAAACTCATTGGTGGGAGAACAAACAGAACTTGAGCAAGGCTAACAATGTGCCAATCACCAAACTGAGTTTGAAGGGTGAGTGTTCACCTTTGACTCTGCTCATTTTCACAGCTATTGACTAATTGCCGTATCTCTTGGGAATGCCCAAGGCAAGCTTTCCTTCAACAATTCCCGATTGCCATATCTCTTGGGAACACCCAAGCCATCCCAAGTATCACAAAAAACAACTCCCGCAACTCCCTCACTACACCAAGAGTCAAAAGGTGAGTAAAAGATCCACCAGCTTGCTTGCATAAACAACACTAATCATCCATGAAGTGTTGTCTCTTAAACAAGTTATCAACAGTGAGAATCTTCTCATGAATTGCATTCCACACAAAGAAGGCCACATTAGGGGGTGTCCTATTGCTAAATCCCTTTCCAACGAAACACAACCACTCTCTTGTCTATCAAAAATAATCCCCATGGAAAAATATCACCTCGAACTGCTCCTTCTTAGACAAATCCCACCACAAACAAAATGGTACCTCTCTTCATGCCCTCACCACATATAAGAGCCATCTCATATTTTTTTCATTTAAAAATTTGCCCAACTTTCAACATAATTAAACTTTGGAGAGTAATAGAGACGCCTTTGTATAGACCCAACATCTATGAATCCATACATTTTGACCCACTTAACTATAAAATCATACAAATGGCCCCATTTTTTAGGGACGAAAGAGATGCATTTTTATAGCCGAGGGTTCAATAAGGAGTAAGTTAATATATGCTAATAGTTGAAGGAATATTAGTGTATTTAACCTTTTTCATTTTTTTTTTTGGTTGCCATTTTGTGTAGTTGGTTTTCTAAGAAAGTCATGTCTCCTCCCCCTTAGTGATCTTGTAGATTTTGTTGATTTTTGGGACTTGTAATAATCTATGTTTTCTTTTGCACATGTTTAGCTTCTTTATTTTGATGATTTTAAAGAAATTTGCTTTACTTATCAAAAAACAATTTCTTAACATCTACAAATACAAAACGAGCATTTCTAATCCTTGACTAAGACTGACATCAAACTTAAATTTGGGTTGAAACAAATACTCAAAACACCCTCCACTCATTACCCAAATTTATATCAAATTGAGCTTTACTAAGATTTTTACCCAAATCAAAGGAGACTCAAATGTTACTTAAGGCTATTTTGTGGGTCTCAAATTTACCACTTCCTGATTAGTAAAGTTTTTCTTATATACATATGCTTAAATTTAGTTTGCCCATTGGAGTCATTCATATCAAATAAAATTTTTACTCTCAAATATTTGCATAATTCAGACATTTTGAGAAGTAGTTAAATAAGGCAGAATCAATACAAACAACACTTAATTAAAGACAAATTGAAAAAAACAAACACAAAAATTAAAACATACCCGATAAGCATTGAGTTCAGTCTCGAGCTTCTCTTTCTTCTGCTCAGCCCTCCGCTCAACCGCCTCAATCCAAGCCGAATCATTTCCATAACTCTGCCCCAACCTCCCATCGATCTTCTGAACAACTTCTCGAAACAATTGTGTGTTCTCGCCTTTCTTAACTTCGTCGTAAGCCATTCGTAGAGCTTCCAACTGCATCGAAACGTTGTCGCATCGGTTGGCGATGAAGAGGAGCCGCGAAATCTTTGTTCGGCCGCTGTAGAGAGCGGCGTAGGCCTCGATGTCGAGTTGCTCGCCGTTGATGATTGGTCTGTGACGCCGGGAATCGTCACCGCCGTTGGAATATATCTCGTCGATCATCTGTGCCGAAGCTTCATTCTCGCCTTCCATGGTGGTGCACTCGAACGACGTCGTCGAGTTAGGGTTTTTGAGGCCTTGTGTTCTTCTTCCTCACAAGTGAAGTGACCCAATTCTGATAATTTTTTTTGCAATCAAAGAGAGAGGGGGGCGAGAGGGGGTTTACACGTGCGACAGTTTTAATGGGTTTGCACGTGCGATTAATAGGCTTAAGCATTACACACATTTATGGTTTAATTTTTTGAAATTATTTTTTGAAAAAATAAAAATTATTTTAATAAAAATAAATATAAAATTATATTTTTAAAATGTATATCCACCCTCTAGAAAGATAAAACGATTTAAAAATGAAAAGCGATTTTTATTTTTTAATTCTTTTTTATCAATTATTTTTAATTTTTTTAAAGAAAAAATGACAAATTTCAAAAATTAAACCAAACAAAAATGTGACAATTTTTTTGATTTTCAAAAAATTAATATAAATTACAATTTACTATTTTAACTATTACTAAATATCAACATTTAAGCTTAATTTGAGAAGACTAAATAAGTGTACTTTTTGACTTTTTATGAAATATGGGTTGAATTTGGGTTGGGTTTGAAGTGATGTGTTAGAGAGATGATGTGACTTAAATAAGATGATATAATTTAAATAGGATAGTGACTTTTTGACTTTTTATCTTTTTTCAATCATGTCAAACTTGGCCTTAAACTCCTTGACTATAAATTTTTTTTTTTTCTTTTTTTTTCAGAATGAAATATACAGTTAACTTTTAAATATTACATTTGAACCCCTTTTTTTATAAAAATTGTACAAGAATATATAACTCATGTATTTCTATAATTGATTGTTTTCAGTTCACATAACCACAAAATCCTTGAATACTTGAACCTCGTTTGGGAATAAATTATTTTAGTAATTTTTTAATTTTTTGACTAAAATATGAGGTAAAAAAAAGTAGTATGTTTGGAATGAATTTTTAATTTTTGACGAAAAGATGTAAAAAAAAAATAGAGAGAAAAGAATTTTTTGACTTTTTGATATAGATTATACGCTTTTTAATTTTTTTAATAACTTTTTAACTTTTAGACAAAAAATGTTCCATGCTAAACGAGTCCTCAATATTATACTATATATCTCAAATTATACCTAAATTCTTTAATTGAATGATAACAAATTGTTGATACTCAGATTATGTTTTAAACACAAGTTACATTAAATTGATCAAATAAAATTTCAATAACTTGGTATAAAAACAGAGTAAATTTGCTCTAGTACCTAGTTAAAAGAAGTATGCACAGTATATTTGAATTAGTCTCCAATCCATACAACACAGACCGAAGTCCACGATTAGATCCACCAACTCCTTTTTCTTCTTCTTTGATTAGTCGATTAATGAAGTGTTGGAAATGGTAGAAAAATTCTGGGTAAAATCAGAATTTTTTTACAAGTTTGGTCTATTTTTTAGGTGGGCCCCGAGTGTCGATTTACTCGGGTCAAAGTGGTAACGCGTTCTATGCCGCGTTGTGATTCACGTGGTATATTTGGTTGCTCAAAACCATTACCGAGTGAATGAGAAATTGAAGCCAAAGTGTGCTCCATGGAAATGGAGTTTTGGTGAAAATTCCTTAAGGTTGTAAATTGGCTTGTCCCACATTGATTTGGTAGGAAGTTTTGAAAGGGTTTATAAAGCTTGGGTGAGATACTTGGGGTGTGCCCCAAGGGGTACCCAAGTGTTTTAGAGGGAGAGGTTATGGGCAAAATAGGCTAGACCTATTAGACCCAAAAATCACCACACAGGCTTCTAATCTTTTTGGACCAAAAACATTTGAATTTAATTTTATTTTTTGGTAAAATAAAATCCAGAATTCAAATTAAACTGATTTGGATTTTTTGTACATCCAAACAGGGCCCTGCCCATTTTCAAACAGAAATAAAACTAGTTTGGAATTAATGCACACCCAAACAGGGCCCTTCCCGTTTTTTTGCTATCTGTTTGAATTATCAACAGATTCAAATCTGTTTGAATTCAAAACCAACAGGTATCATACCTGTTCAATTCAAAACCAAGAGCCACATACCTGTTCAATTCAAAACCAAGAGCCACATACCTGTTCAATTCAAAACCAAGAGCCACATACCTGTTCAATTCAAAACCAAGAGCCACATACCTGTTCAATTCAAAACCAAGAGCCACATACCTGTTCAATTCAAAACCAAGAGCCACATACCTGTTCAATTCAAAACCAAGAGCCACATACCTGTTCAATTCAAAACCAAGAGCCACATACCTGTTCAATTCAAAACCAAGAGCCACATACCTGTTCAATTCAAAACCAAGAGCCACATACCTGTTCAATTCAAAACCAAGAGCCACATACCTGTTCAATTCAAAACCAAGAGCCACATACCTGTTCAATTCAAAACCAAGAGCCACATACCTGTTCAATTCAAAACCAAGAGCCACATACCTGTTCAATTCAAAACCAAGAGCCACATACCTGTTCAATTCAAAACCAAGAGCCACATACCTGTTCAATTCAAAACCAAGAGCCACATACCTGTTCAATTCAAAACCAAGAGCCACATACCTGTTCAATTCAAAACCAAGAGCCACATACCTGTTCAATTCAAAACCAAGAGCCACATACCTGTTCAATTCAAAACCAAGAGCCACATACCTGTTCAATTCAAAACCAAGAGCCACATACCTGTTCAATTCAAAACCAAGAGCCACATACCTGTTCAATTCAAAACCAAGAGCCACATACCTGTTCAATTCAAAACCAAGAGCCACATACCTGTTCAATTCAAAACCAAGAGCCACATACCTGTTCAATTCAAAACCAAGAGCCACATACCTGTTCAATTCAAAACCAAGAGCCACATACCTGTTCAATTCAAAACCAAGAGCCACATACCTGTTCAATTCAAAACCAAGAGCCACATACCTGTTCAATTCAAAACCAAGAGCCACATACCTGTTCAATTCAAAACCAAGAGCCACATACCTGTTCAATTCAAAACCAAGAGCCACATACCTGTTCAATTCAAATC